TATATATATATATATATATATATATATATATATTCACAAACTACACCATCTTAACAAAATGAATCAGTTATGTGATGAACAAAAGAATAATAAAATAAAATAAAAAAAGGACAGTAGGTGGTAATAGAGATTCACACAACTTTGCGCACTTGCATAATTCAAATTCCACATCCCAGGGGCTTGGGAGAATTTGAGAAGAGTTCCAGCAGTCGACCTTGGTCTGAGCTTCTGAGATTGGGTTGTTCAATGTGCTGCGACAAGCATTACATTGTTATATTTATTTAAGTTCCAGAAATGTGAGTAGCAGTAACCAACAAGAGAATACTGATCTTTAAAATTTACTTCAGAAGACGCAACAGACCAACTTGGGATGAAAGTGCAATGACAATAAAATATCTTAATGATTTTCAATTACAAATATCTACAAACTATACAAACAAGTCAGCTAGGGATAATAGGAAAGGGCTACTAAACAGATTGTTCAGATTGTCAATAGTTCTGAAAACTTCTGGAACTGATCAGCAGAAACCATATAAACAACCAATGCGGCTGTGTTGCTAGAAACTTTCCTCCAGACAGTGGTCTGGTTTTATCCACCTATTTAACTGGTGCAAAAACTTAGTGAACATTTGCAACTTAAATCCAAGACTGCCCTTCATCATTTATGAAGTTTCAGTTGCAGATTTCAACTACATTTGATATTGCAGCTATTTTTTAATATTTTAGTATAAAATACATTAAATCTATTAATCTACTCACATTATCAGATTCCGAAGATCTGGTGAATATGCTCTTGCCACTAAATCCAAAGATGTTTGGATATTCTCTCTATTACAAGCCACAAGGGATCGACATGCCAAAGCCAAAACTAATTTTCCCAAAGATGTTAAGTCTTCTTGCTATTCACAGAAGATAAAGGGTATATAAAATCACATTTGCAAATGATGTAACACAAGTTATTATGAATAAAAGAAATAGCTTCTCCAATAAATATATAATTAATCTCCAACACTCTTAAGTGTATGCACTCTGCTAGAGACAGTCATTCACACCACTAAATTTCTTTGACAGTAATATTGTGGCAGGCAAACATACACAAGCATGCATGCTGTGTTAAAAAATGGACATATCTCTGTACATATGCACTCTTCTAAGCGTATGCACAAGCACACATACTAAACCACCATGCATTACACCAGGGTTTCCCAACGGGGATCAATTGATATCAATGGAGATCAATGATTATCAAAAGGTTAGCAGCCAATTACACACTGCACTGATTGGGATAATCAAGATCCTACCTTTTACAAAAAATTAATAATTAATTGTTGTTTTGTATGAAGCTTCAAAACACATTATATATACATAAATAAAAGGTCTCCAAATTTATTTATTTTTTTTAAATTTTCATTTCCATGAACACACTTTTGCACAAATAAAATCTGTAATTTTGTGTACGAAAACTTGTTCATGTTTGTCAGAACTGAAAACTGTAATTGTGCAAAATATAATAAAACATTAATTTCACAAATTATTTTAAAGCTTTTGTTAACATTCTTTGTTGAATGCTACACTTTGTTATTTATGTGCAAGTATTTGCTCTATAATTATGTTATATGCTGTATATTACGGTAAATTTGAAGGGGGTCAATGTAGCAGATAATTGTTTTACCCTCCGGCACATGCACATTTCTTAGACGATTGAATTTTTCTTGTGTTGATAAGCGATATAGAAATTTTTGAAAAAGTCATTCACAGAACCTCTCTATTATTGTTTTTAGATTTCATAGCTTTCAGTTCATGCCGATAGATTTTATAATGTCATCATGAGAATAATCTCAATCAAACAGCGTGTAGTGCAACACACTGCAGACCGGAACGTATAGTACAATTTACAACTGATACAACTTACTAATCTGTATATCGTTCTCATTATTGATAAACATAATAGATCAATAAAGTATTAAAGTTTCAATGTTAGTAAACATGTTTAAAGTGTATTTGTGACTGAAACACCCAAGAGTCAATTTGTGAAGCAATGTAAGCTAAAATTCAAATGATGCCACTGAGAGATCACCGTGTGTGCTCAAATAACCTATACTACTGTGTGTGCCGCAGGGTTAAAAGGAATTAAAGCACGAAAAAAGTTGGGATTCCCTGCCTTACATGAACACCATTCAAACTTTTAAATCAACCACAAAAATTTCAAAAACTGCCAAGATAAGAATCCTCTAAGAAATTGTAATATTAATTCACTTAATATAACAAAGTTAAAGGCAAACATAAAAATTATAAATTGACCATAAATAACTGCCATTCAATTTTTCTTTTGTTTCAAAGTATTTTTTCCAATTTATAGTTTGATTCCTTAAATATTACAATATATCAGCACCATTAATTTAACTATTTGAAAATCAAAGGATTAATCCTTTTAAAAGAAGTCTATAGCTAAACAGTCCCACATTTGAAAATCAGTCAAGTGCAAGTTCAAAAATAAGGATAGAATAGAAATGTTAACTGATAATTGAAGTAGAGTTAGTACCTGAATATAAAATACTTCATTTATTTAAAAGACACAAATAAATAATAATAGTTACCTGGCAATGAGAAGTAAGATGATGAGGATTGGCAGCAGTTGAATCACATGTCAATACATCAGGAATGGCAACAGAATTGATACGAAGATGTGATCGACCACTCAAAATAATGGTATTGGGATCTAGAGTTCTACAAGCCAACCCAGCTGCATGAATAACCCGTAGTCCAGCAGTTAATTGTATTATATAATTCCATATCACACTTTCAGGAAGTAAATTAGATTGTTGTTGAAGCAAAATCTTATTTTTTTGATGACTATATGGTCTTGGTGCATTAGGATCAGCAGAAAATGGATCAGTATATCCATTCACAGGCTCACATTGTTGAAAATGTTTCATTGTCAATGTCTCAGCCCCAGGATGATAATCATACACAAAAATTATCGCTGCAAAAGAATATCAAATTACAGTACACATAAGTTTCCATAACCTTAGTTTTTTATTGTATTGCACAATACGTTTCTATATTTCAACATGTGTTTTAAACACTGAGTTAATATGTTCTTGAAAGTGTTCTGTCAAGCAATTAAAACCTAAGTTGTTTTACCTATATTAATACAGTGTCTTAATTTGCAATAATTGTGCAATATTGCTACAATACAATTAATTAATCACTATGTCGATTTAAGAAATATGCCTGGCTTTAACTAAAAATTAATGATCTGCCCAAGAACTATAATTGAACAATGAACTTTGCAACAAAATAGTAACAAGAATGATACAACAAATTATGATATTCAAAATACAAAGTCATATTGACATTTTTATTTCCATACACTACTCAATAGAAAAGAGAATTCTAAGGTCTTTCTGCCTGCTTTATCAGCAACTTACATATTTTGTAAGTCTGGTACTATAATAAATAGCTTGAGGAAAAGATTCAACATTATTTCACAAAAACTACTAGTTTCATACATTTACAAAATATTTGAAAAAAATGATAGTTTTCAAAATATGTACATATTTTGAAAACAATCGGTTTTTGAGAGCAAAGATATATACTATGATTTTTCTGAAGTAGCTGACGACATCAGGTTACCATTATGCCTCCTGCTTTATAAAATGAATCTTTTAAACAGTGGTAAGCAAATTTTGCTTACATTTACAGCAACCAAGGGGAAAATTTGGGTAAAGAAACCGTCTTTCTCCTGTTTCAAAAGGACACATTTTGCATGCTTGCGGAGCTGCATGCTCTCAATATTACCAACAGATCTACTACATCATCATCATCAACTTCAATCGTTGTTGTTGTTGTTGTTGTTGTTGTTGTTGTTGTTGGTTTTTTGTTTGATCTAAAGACAAAGTGGGGATTATTCTTGGAGTGTCTGAGAGCCTTCCTTTGCTTGTTTGCATGTCATTCCTGCTGATAAAAACTTTGTAATCAACAGTGCTATTAACTGTCTTATTATTCCTGTTAGCAAGAAAATTTTCTTTGGACATTGTAGGAGTCATCATATCCTCTAATACTATGTACGCAAGTTTAATAGACTTTTAAGTCTCTTAGCACTTCAATAGCAAAACTTGCCACTACTTGCCGTATTCGAGCATCATTTGACTGAACTAACGTAGCATACAACTAAAAGCTATACTTCAATTTTTCTATAGTGGTTAAAGACATTAGATCATCTTTTTAACAATGGTAAGCACATTTTTGAGGCCACACATCCAGTTGAGAAGGGCGTAAATTAATTAAAATGATTCATTTTATAAGGCAGGAGTTGTAACAATGACCTATTGTCATCAGCCACTTTAGAAAAAGTGAAGTATAATTGAATTCAACAATCAAATTAAAGTGTACTTACAATAATCTCCAAAAGCCTTTGTTGTAAACACATCTCTTAACTGAACTACATTGGAATGTTCCAACTGCTTCCACATATCAACCACAGCCATACATTTTGTATTGGGAAGTCTGTAACCTGAGAACAGTATCAACATTAAAAATAAGCAAAAATGTCTAGAGAAAAGTTTTCAATACACTTATATGTATTTTTCAAAAATTATTCCACAAAATACACCATTTAGAAAATTAGGGGGATGTCTTCAGTTCACAGATGAAGGCTAGCCGGTTATGATTAGTTTTTACAGTGCTTTTCCATGTGACGAAACTCGTAAATGTTGACATAACACTAAGCTGCGATGACTAAAAATATCACACATGTCTATACTACATTATTACTTGATTACTATAAAATGCCACAAGGCCTGGAGATGCTCAGTCCCATCAGAGAGCGGTCCTCGCTGTCTTTTGACGTCCTACCACGGGAAAGACCCTTCTCCCACCCCACCCCACTGAGGAAGGCCACGGTAGGAGTCAAATCAGGAACAAGGTCTACGTAATGCTATGTTAACTACTGTTTACTTCGGAACATATCTCTTCTATGAATGTAGGTTAAACAAATAATATTTTGAACTTGGTAACACGCATGAGTTCTTAAACTCTACTTGTGAACATAAAAAGTTAACAATTAAAAATGGAGGCAATTCGCATGCTACGCAGATATCAAACTAGAGAGTATTGATAACAAAGCAATTCAACAAAGATAACTTTTTGACCATTACAAGTTGTGGAAAAATTGTGAGGATTGAACATATGAGAGTGGACATTTCAATGCAAACGGCACATACATGAATAATGCGTAAATACATTTATTATATTTGCCAAAATTGTATATGATGTGAATAATTTACATGTTGGGCATTCATTGAAGAACTGTGTGCCCAAGTTAAATAAATAAATGATTTAACTCACTTTTAGTAATCTTGTGAGGATTATGTGTTGAATAAATGAAAGAATTGTATAAATTGTACAATCAAAGGAAAATTCCAATTTGGAAAGTCTCTTTGCATGAATTGAGAATGAAATCACTACAATTTTAATGCAATACTCGTCATTAGGAGCCCCACAACATCAGAAATAATGTTTTTCAGCCTGAAACAGTTTGGCTGTTTAGCAGGGTAATGTAATTATTAATTGGGTGTAGAAAAACTTTAAGCTTTTGCAATTTTCAAAAGTAAAGTGATTTTACTGAAAATCAGTCCTGTAACATTTTCATAAGCGTCCTTAACTCTTATTCTAACTCCCTTAACTCTAACTCCAGCAAACATTGAAAAGAAGAAGAAAGTGGAGCCATTTTTGAGAAAGTTTTGAATATGTCTTAAGGACTTGTTTTTAAAAAATTATCCAACATTTAAAAAAATCCATTTTAAATTTGCGGGGCTGCAACAACATTCAGATTCATTTAGGTGAAAATCCTTTGCAAGGTTTACATGCACCTGTAGTTCATGGAGGGGATGGACAGACATGACACTGGGCAGAAGGATTGGACTGAATGGAAGGGGCAGAGGGACAGGGCAGACCAGTGGACGACACGTTAGTAGTTGGGATGGGCAAACAAATGTTTTTGGGAAAAAACACTTTTTCAGTATCAGAGACCCCCAAAATATGTTTATATCATAAAATATAAAGTCTCTTTTTCTGTTATACTTCATATCTTTTTGAATATGGGCTTTATGAGAATGTAAAAATCTGTAAAGCTCGTTCTGATATCTATCCTTTGGAACTTCCAATGTATGGACATTGACAAAAACTAAAATACAACACTGAAATAACTAATTTAATAACAAAATAATTTGCAAGATATGCAGCTTCACAACATTGTTGCTTATCAACCAAAGATTTAATTTTTAATAGAAACTGTCTAGCAGATAAGGATTTCAAAATGTAAGTACATTCAATAAAATCTACAAAACACTTGAAAAATTAACCATACTGTACCATGTATTCTTTGCAGACAATAGCGAATACCAGTCTTCACATTTGTTGCTTTATAAGATGAAGCAGAATACCCCATCAATTGAGTTTTATTTGCGGGAGCTGCAGCAACCGGTTTCAAAGGACAAAGGTCACGATAGTGCTCTACTTCAGCAGGTAAATCTGTAAATACAATACGCATTGGACAAACAAAATAACTTAGTGTTCCATTCACAAATCATACTTTTTTGGAAATAAGATGTTTCAATTCCAATTCAGGGAAGCAAGTGAACAAAGGATGAAACTACAAGTAAAAAGTTACATTTGTCAAATAAACTACAATGCTTCATATACTAGTAATTTACAAAGTCTGATTATAAGGCATTCCTTACAATACTTAAAATGGATAGCCTATTAAATGAAAAGCTGGAATTAACTGGAAAAGAAACTTCAGAATAAGATTCCTGAGTACACACAATTCCTTCCATTATTTGAGTGGCTCTGGGGAACATAATGGTAAGTGTAACATAATGGTAGCATAATGGTAAGTGCTTTTTTGGCTAAATTTGATTTGCTCTTTTCTTTCTTTGTCTTCTTTTTTTTTGCCTACACTGGGATTTGAACTCAGATCTTTAAGAGTTAGCACGTTCTTCACATTGGCCCTAAACCATGAGCCTCACAGCTAACCTCTACCTGCCTAGCACTTTAAAAAAAGTTGAGTACCTGCATTTACAATTCTCAACAATTCAGCAATTAATTAACATTCAGTGATTAACATTATTTCAAGATCTACATTTAAAAAAGAAATTTCATTAAGGAAAATAATCTCATTAATCGATACTGTAGTTTTGCTATGTTAATTTTGTGTTTGCAATTGTTTAAAACACTTTGCAAAAAAAAAAGATAGAGAGCGAGAAGATATACGCAGATTATTTGATGTATATTATATATGTTTATTTTCTTTTTATCTTAATGAATACATGGAAAATGAATAAACATTATATTTTTTACTTCATGAAACAGAGCATCCACCCTTTCTTACTGGAGAGCTGCCTTATGCACAGCTGCTATGCTGTGTCCTTTTCTACCACATAGAATAGTATGTGCAACATCTCCCTGTTCTCCAATTTTTCAAATAATCAAATTCACTGATATATTCATAGTTTAAAGTGTAGCCAACTTTTAGCTAGACAACTTCATATCATTGTATTCACAATAAAATTACTTACATTTTGATACATAGTTTAATGAAATGCATGTAATTAATGTGAGGATGGTACATGGCCAAAAAAAATTTACATTCTTTTTCAGTAAGAGTAGCCTGACCAGATATGATGCATATGTGCAGAATATTAGTTTATGTATTATTTTTTATAGAAACTATTTTTCATTTACATAAAAACTGAGAGTAGGTTGAGCCAGTATGGATCAGACTATAATTTTATCTTCTTGCATCTACTGTCAGAAGCAAAAGTACAACACTAATATTTTAAATAAATAAAGGAGTAAAAATAATTTGCAATGACTATTAAATCATGTGGGATGGTGGTAAAGCAGAACATAATAATTTACCAAATTCATAATGGCAGCGTCTTTTAGGAGCTGAAAAAGGGACTATATGCACAAAAGTACCTAAATGGTAGAAGCAATAAATCAGTGTGTATGGCCATTTTAAAGCTAAAGTTCAGAATATCTTGCTCAACATTCGATGAATTTTTCATGTTGTTCTCGGTTAGGAGAAAATAAATTAATAAAATGTGCAATTTTAAGTTGCCCAAAGATGTACATTCCTTAAGCCATAATCTATAAAAATTAACTCTTTTTGGACTTCACTTTCATTTTTGGAGGTTTAGCTCTTGCAGATACATCCCCGCTCCTCCTCAGTGCAGGTGCAGAATCTTAAAATATATGCACATTTAAATTGACTATATTGTAGTGATAAGAGCACTTATTTGCCTTTTTTTGTTAACAAATGCTCAGCAACACTAAAATGTTTTGTCAGGTGGAGTTTCCGGCATATATGATGAAAAGCTCGGATCACAGCCTGGCATTTGAATTTTGAATCCAGTATTAGGTGATTTTTACTTCTAAAACAATGATTTACCAGTAAAGAATGTTTGCATGGGAGCAATTAGTTCATTTCAAAGTAAGTAAATAGGAAGTTGCTGCTTATGATAGTCAAAAGGACCTTCAGACCTGAAGAATGGAGACACGAAACCGCATGGTTTTAATTTTTTTAGAGGGTAGACAGTAATATTGAATTCCACATATTTTTATGCTTTCCAAGCAGCAGTTATAAATGAAAGATATATTTATTATTCAGAGATGTCTTTGTCAATTCTTTCAAATCGGATTCAAAATTGTTTACACATTGACAAGAACGTTGAGTATTTCTAGAAATATATGAAGAATGGATTAAATTTTTGTTCTGATGCGCTTCTTCAGTTTTTTACAAGAGAATTTATTTAATTAAACAGTTAGGATTTTCTTTTTCTTCTTCTTCTTCCGCTGCTGCTACTTCTTCTTCCGCTGCTGCTACTTCTTCTTCTTCTTCTGCATCAGCGGCTGCTGCTGCACTGTTCTTCTTCTTTCTTCTTCCTGCTCTGCACACTTCTGTCTTGCGGTCTGCTGCTGCCTCTACTTCCTTCTTCTCTTCGACGAGCTGAGCTGCTGCTGCGGCTACTTCTCTTCTTCTGCGAGCTCTCTCTGTCTATTTCTTCTTCTTGCTTCTTTTTCGTCTTCTTTTTCTTCTTTCTTCTTCTTTCTATCTTCCTTCTCGCCAGCTGCTGCTGCTACTTCTTCTTCTTTCGTCCTTCTTTCTTCTTCTCTTCCCAGCTGCGCTACTTCTTCTTCTTCTTCCTTCCGCAGCCTCTGCCTATTCTACTTTCTTTCTTCTTCCGCAGCTGCTGCTACTTCTTCTTCTTCTATCTTCTTCGCAGCTGCTGCTTACTTCCTTCTTCTCTTCTCCTCCGCAGCTGCTGCTACTATTCTTCTTCTCTTTCTTGCCTCCGCAGGCTGCTGCTACTTTCGCTCTTCCCTTCTTCTTCTTCCCTCCGCAGCTGCTGCTACTTCTTCTCTTCTCTCCTTCTTCCTCGCAGCTTTATGCTGCTGCTTTACTTCTTTCTTTCCTTCTTCCTCCGCAGCTGCTGCTACGTTTCTTTTCTCTTCTTCCTCTTCTTCTTCTTACTTCTTTCTTCTTCTTCCTCCGCAGCTGCTGCTTACTATCTTTTTCCCTTCTTCTTCTCTTCTTCCCGCTGCGCAGCTACTGTCTTTTTCTTCGACTTGCTACTTTCTTCTCTTCTCTCTTCTTTCTTCCGCCAGCTGCCTGCTGTTACTTCTTCTTCTTCTTCTATTCTTCCGCAGTGCTGCTGCTTACTTTCTTCTTCTTCTTCTTCCGCAGGCTCGCTTTTTCTTGGCTGCTGTGTACTCTCTTCTTCTTCTTCTTCTTCTTCTTTCTTCTTCTTCTTCCTTCTTCTTCCTCTCTTCTTCATCTTCGCACGATGCTGCTGCTACTTCTTCTTCTTCCACCTTCTTCTTCTTCCCGGCGCTTGCTGCTAACTATCATCTTCTTTTCCTTCTTCCAGCACTGCTGCTGCTTACATTCTTTTCTTTCTTCTTCTTTCCTATTCGCAGACTGCTGCTGGCTAATCTCTTCTTCTTCTTCTTTCCGCAGCGTCTGGGGCTGCTACTTCTTTACTTCTTACTTCTCTTCGCAGCATGCTGCCTACTTCTTCTTCTTCTTCCGCAGTGCTGCTACTGCTTTCTTTACGTTTCTTCTTCCCGCAGCCGTGCGCTCTTCTTCTTTCTTCTTCCGCGGGACTGCTGCTTATTCTTTCTTTCTATTCTTCTTCTTTTCTTCCGCAGGCTGGCTAACTGTTCTCTTCTTCTTCCCCTTCCGCACAGCTGCTGCTGCTACTTCTTCTTCTTCCGCAGCTGCTGCTGCTACTTCTTCTTCTTCCGCAGCTGCTGCTGCTACTACTTGTTCTTCTTCTTCTTCTTCCGCTGCTGCTGCTACTTCTTCTTCTTCTTCCGCTGCTGCTGCTTCTTCTTTTTCTGCTTCTTCTTCTTCCGCTGCTGCTACTTCTTCTTCTTCTTCTGCTGCTGCTACTTCTTCTGCTGGTGCTGCTACTTCTTCTGCTGGTACTGCTACTTCTTCATCTACTACTGCTACTTCTTCTTCTTTATCGACTACTGCTACTTTTTCTTCTTCTTCTTCTTATTATTATTATGTAAATGATTTATTAGCTGTATTTTATTTTACATATATATGCACGTATTTGAGTCATTTTTAGTTCATAATTGAAGAGCTTATTTTCAAAGTGACATTTGTTTCCAAGTTTTATGTATAAATATATTTTTAAAATGCTTTTCCATCATGCAGGCAAACATTGTACTAAAAACTTGCATTTCTCCTAAGTTAAACAGTATCTGAAAACTGTTAAATCCACGAACTACAAAACTGAATGTGAATACTTTTCCTTCATGAAATATTGTCTTTCTTGGAGATATAAAACTTTGGTAAGAAACTTTACAATTATCTGAGCTATCCTCATAAACCATCCCAATTGGATTCTTTTATTATGACTTAACTGCTCTGTATTACGATCCCTGAAAAGTCCAGTTTTTCTCTGTATGTTCACTGCTGTAACATTGTGGGAGCAAATAAAGAAATACATTTTAAAACATATTATACTGTAGTCCTGTTTATGTGGGTCAAATAATTCACCTGGATATTGTTCTGGATCTGGTTGTGCAAGAATGAGGGCATTTCTATGCATCTGTTCCATACGTAATTCTTCAGATACATAAAATCCCGATGTTGATGACTTCTCCTTCAAGGAGCTAACATGTGTAGGTGACCCAGTATATACTGTGAAATTGGGCATCACCACAGTAGGAACAGGAGTAGTTGAAGGAACCTCTTCAGCAAGTGGTCCTGTCTCACCACTTGAAGTTGGATAGAAGTAGGTGGTACCACCCACATTCTCCTGAAAATTATAAATTAATAACATTAGTAATTATAATTAAAAGAATGAAATGAGGGGAAAATAACGAACAAGACAGAGGAGGATGAGGAAAAGGAAGAAAAAGAAGAACTTTTTGAAGAAAGAAATCTAAAGACAGACAATCTACCTCTATGTCTCAGTTCTGAAATTTGATAGATTGTTTGAACTATCGATACAAGACAATTTTATTATCATTATTATACAATAGTAACATGTTTTTTATAAAGTGAATAACCAGAATATAATGTAATTTCAGTAAAGATGATTAATTGATTTTATTTTAAAGAGAATGTCAATTTCTATGATGATTGGTGCAACCTCAAATAGGTTAAAATGTAATGTAAATAAAGCAATATTAGAAATAGATCTACTCACAACCAAATTTATAAAACAAAATTTCATTCTCATTAAAACATGAATTAATTCTTCAGATTTTAAATGTGTATGAATGGATGCCTGATGTGATGAACAGTTGTCTGCCATATTATTATATTTACCAGGAAAATATCAAATATTTCGAATTACTTGAGAAAGAAAAATATTCGTAGAGAAAATTTTCACAATCTATTTATTGTGCAAATATTATTCATAATTTGTAACAAATTTGCTCAAAATATATTTCATATACCCCAATTTACTTTGAAATATTATTTTTGAAACCACCCTTAGCAACTGTAAGATCCTTCTGAGCACACGTGAAATGCATTTCCTTCTTCTTTCTTCAAAGTAAAGATTTTTCCAAGCCTTTTAACTCGTTCTATAAAGAATACTTTTACTGGAAGTGATTCCTCTGATTATTTCTTCCAACAGAACCTTCCTAATGTTTTTAATTGAATTCATGTCCAGAGAATTCCCTGGCCAGTCCAACACTTTAACTTCCTGGTTGCAGAGAAAGGTCTAACACAGGTTTTACTTGCGGCAAGGTGCAGAATCACGCATAAAGGTAAAATATTTGTTTGGAGACCATTTGGTTGCTTGTGGAAAAAGTTCATTCCTTACTAACTCATATCGATCCCTCTGCATCATGCCTTGCACTACATACTGCATTCCATTGCCTGTACTGCTGATCACGAACCATATGATGAAAAGATGTCTTTTCATCATGGACTTTATCATTATGAAGAGAAGATGTTTCATCCGTTTTTCTTCACGTTCTTTAATAAATTGCTCATTGGTGCGACGTCGAATCAACTCAATTTTATCATCAATGATTTTTATCGACATCTCGTCTGAGAAAATTTATAGAGGATTCATTAATCTGAAATTGTATAAAACACAATGGAACCGTCATCCTCTGAGCAATTTCTGTACTTCTAGCCCACTCTAGTCTTTTTACTTTCCCGTATACGTACGTATATACGGAATAATACGTGGTATACGGATATGAAATGTTGCGAAAAAGGTTTTTCGTAATCATGGAAATATACGTTTTGAGGTCTCCTGATACCGAAAAGAGTTTTTTTTCTTTCGAAAACGTCCGTCCGTCATTCCGTGAACACCACTAGCGCCTAAAGCATACGTAGATTTTTTCCAAAATGGTTATTCCCCCGTCGATCTGGCTCGACTCGAGGCTACGATTTTGAAAAATGTTCTTCAAAATGTGGGGGTGCTTTACGTGAAGCCCCCCGGAAATTCCGTAACAAGTCCGTTCTGTACAAAGTCCATTCTGTAGCACCACTAGTTTGTTTTACCGCAACTTTGGTTTTTGCGTAGCATGTCGGCACCTCAGAGCCATCTCTTTAAAACGCCGTTCTACAGTTCTCAGGGATAATTTGTTACGCATCACCCAGCACGGCACGACTCAAGAGATGTATTTAATTTTACCTTTTATCAATATTTCTCATAGACAGGTGAAACACCAACAATTGTTGCAATCTGACGCTGTCTATTCCTGCAATAAGCTAACGACATTCTAGCCTTTTCCCTATGGGCTAAAACAACTCCTTTGACCAATTCAATTCCGAGATTAAAATACCTTGAAAGATAGGATTCAATACATTACTAAATATGTTTGATATTTACTAACTATTCCATATACTTGTATGTTATTGTTTGAGAAATTTTGATATACTTACATTACAATGTATGTTAATAAATATATCACAATAAGTACAAAGCATGAAAAGCCCTTGACTCTGTACTTGTACTGAAGATCCAGGTGCACCAACTTTACACTTTTAGGGCGTTCTACTCTGTTACAATGTATTACAATTAAATTAAACCCTCCCTTCCCCCCAGGGGCCAACCACAGTTCCACAACTGTTATTTTTCCGGTGCTGAAAATGGGCCGTACGACCTGCACGTAACGCAAATTATAGTCGTATACACCAGATTATTATTAAGGTTTAAGGGCACTTCTACAGCTAAGGTCTTTTGCGCCCATGTCAAATTATTTTAAGAACAATGCGCACTATGGCAGTGTCAGACTTATACATTTTTTTAATGCAAAGTAAAAATGTGAGTAAAACTGAAAATAAAAGTGTTCAATTGTGAGTTAAGCTAAAGACCCTGAATATACATATACAAGAGAGGGTCTTCAGCTTAACTCGCAACCCATGTCTGAGAGCACTTGTTCATGTTTTGGTAATTTGGCAACAGCGTGGTTTTGCCCCCTTTCAAGACAGCCGTGCCTCGCACGTCGAGACAGCAGAGGAGGCGACCGTCAGGTCGTAAGCTGCAGCAACTTTCCTGTTTCTGTGTTTTCCCATTCAAGAGCTTAGGCGGGCAGATACGCGGCTCACACGCTGGAAGCTTTTCACGTTGCACAGAGTGGGTGGGGTGAGGAGGGATGGGCAGAGATACGAGCAAGAAACAAAACGTCTCGTTAGGTGATCCTGTCCAATACGCTTAAGGAACAAAACTGAAATACTGAAGATGTAGAGGGACGTTTTGACTGTTTATCAATTTCTTAACACCAACGTCACAACAATTGTTATTTAATGGAAGTTGGCTCTGAGAGAAATCAAAAAGATCTCGTAAAACAATACCGCCAAGCTCTTCATTGTTTATAACAATAATAATGTATTATTACTGAATCTGATTATTAAGCAACGAGCCTTAATAAAATAATTAAAAATACGACTGAAACATAAATCAGTAAATTAATAATTATTGACAATAATTAATAAAAAAACAATAAAATATTATTTCCTGAAAATGAGAAACTAAGAGTCGAGTAAATGCTCAAAGTAACTACCATTTGCCAAGAGATAGGCATTTACTCTTTTCTGTGTAGGGGCTGCAGTACCTTGAAGTGTTTTATGCGTTTCAAAATTTCCAAAACAAGAGGTGGTTTTTCCGGACATGGGTTGCGAGTTAAGCTAAAGATACGTGTATATGTATATACGTATAAAGGGGTTGGCAGAAAAGAACCACAAACACTTTAAAATCTCTAATTAATAGCCAAATAATTGGCAAAATCCTCTTCGCTCAGAGAATGCTGTAAATGTCAATCTCTCATAAGAGCTATAAAGCTTGCAGAGAGAAGATTCGTTATCTCGAAGTTCCTGTGCTAGAGCTAGCACGGTGAAGCCTTCGGCGGCTATCTCTTGGAACACCTTAGAACAGTGCAGGAGAACATGATCTACGGTAAGATTCGTCTCGCAACTATCGCAATTAGGGGGTGGGCCATCGTGGAGACGATGGCCGTGGGAGGAATGGCAGTGATCGATCTGAAGGCGTGTCAGAAATACCTCCTCACGTCTAGACCCACGAGATGAAGACCAAGACTTTACGGAAACCTTCATTCTCGCGAGTTTAAAATCTGAGTTCTGCCACTCTGTTTGCCGTGCACGGAGTATAAAGCGTTTTCAATACGCTTTAGAGTTTGCTGAGGGTAACATAAGGCATGTCAACAGATCACTTCCAAGTGGCTGTTTTTGCGGCTTGATCAGCTAGCTCATTGCCTGCGACAGCTACGTCATAGTTGCAAGATAATAGACAGCAAAATAGATGTATTGTCGTAGTCAAGTGAACCGAGGGAGAGAGTCAAAAGTGACTGGAGTGCACTTCGGGAATAACTGCATATAATTACTCGTCGTGAGGCACCCGATTCTATGTATTTCAGAGCTTGCGGAACAGCGAACTTCTCGGCAGAGAAAACTCTACAGTACGGGTAAATTTTGAATGACCGTGTGGCTGTTCTACAGTAGAACGCGCATACCACAGATTCATTTGTGGCAGAGCCGTCAGTGTACAAGAGAGTATGGTCAGGATACGGTGCTCTCAACTCATTGAAGCTCCTTAGATATACTATGGGCGAAGTTGATGTTTTAGGGAGTATGGATAAGCTAAAATCTATTAGGGGTCGGAGAAGTTTCCAAGGAGGGAGAAGATTTATGGCAGGATTTACAGGGGCAGGAAGTTTCAGGTTAAGCTACCGCAACAAAGTGTTAAAGCGGATACCAGGTGGTTTAGATAAATATGGGGGTGAGCACTCCGTTCACTTTCCGCTGAATCCTGTGCATGTCTGTAACGCTTTCATCGATTTCAGTAGCACAATTCCCATGATTAACTACACCCTTCCATAGGTTTAATGTAGGAAAGGTCTACATAGAACCTTGAAGACGGGTATTTCCTTCACTTTTAAAACTCTGTCAATCTGTTTGTCTGACCGACATTCGAAAAGGATGGTTCCAGTGCGTTGTCGAACGACTGTCTGGAATGTCCCTAATTTCTCTACAACCATTGCGAGTTTTATTGAGGTAACACTTTTCATTGTTTTCCCTTCGCTGCATGTCATTACAAGGAAGCTGGGTTTCGTTGGCCTATCACTTTCTTTCCAAAAAAAAAAAAGCTTTCCAAATCGATCTGTCATTGTCTCTTCTTCCTTTGGGAAGAGGGCGGGGAGGTTGTTTTTGAATCCGTGGGCGGGGCTTCTAATTCATCCCCGTGGACCCCACCCATCATGGAGCCCAACAAGGAGACACTCCGGAGTGCAAGGGTTGCCTCTGCGATATAGCAAGGAGTGGCATGGGTTATTCCCCTCCGCACACTCGTGGGGGGATACCATGACACCACCCACTCACCCAGGAGTTCACTCACAGACCGATTGAACTGATTCCCCTCTCCTAGAATTTTCATCATCCCCACCCTTCAGAAAGTTTAAAATGCTGTGCAGGCCTGACTTATACCCATCGTCCGGTGCTGACAGTTTTATCGGCGGTTCACTCAATGCGGTTGGGGCCCGTGAGCGATAGAGCAGTCCGTTTTACTCGCTTGGTGCAGCATCTTCGAATAAGTTTTCATTTTAGTGCGTACGCGTCGTTTTATAAAGACGGGTGCCCTCACCGGGCCATCTTTCACAAAAGATAAGAGAGGTAAACCATTAACACGTGCTGAAAAAACTACAGTGTTTTTTTTCGCGTGGTTGAAGAAAATTCGTTGGCCGTTAACTCTTTTAACAGCGACGGGTTGGCCGACTGCGAGTAGCGTGTCTTGCGGGGCCCGCTGTGAGTTGTATGCCGAAGTAGACATAGATACCGCGCAAGATATCTCAGAAATTAGTTAATGCAGGCAATACCGACCGCATCTGCGCGAATGAACTCGTCCAGAGGCTCCTGGAGACATGGCGGTTCCGCGAACGACCTAGACGAGAGACTGCCAGCGACAACCTGATACGGAAATACTTAGCGTATAAACTCGTCTAGAGCAGTCAAAGGACTTAACTGATTGCCTATCGTCCATCATGGAACACGGGAGAATCCATGTCAAGAGTAATGAATGCCTCCAGAGAAGTTAGTACAACCGGGAAACTTGTCACCGCAGGGAAGAAACGACGACCGAATCATTCGGTGTTCAATGCTGATGATAACTTATCCAATTTCAAGAATTTTATCGCATCCTCAAAAAAAATGGATTTGAATTGTAGAGGAAGGAACAAGAATGTTATTGTACATAGAGATGACATTATTTTGAGAAGATATTATTTGAGAACAATTCGTCATTTACGATAAATGACCGACACGGAAAAAATATATTATCTCGATGGAACGTGGGTAAAGAAAGAACATACTTTAGGAAAAAATTAGACTGACCCCAAAATTAGAGACAAAAGACAAGCATTCCTGAAGGGGCTTTCGTTAGCATTCAAAAATCCTCGTTCTCGAGGAAGACGGAAATGGTTACCCACATCGGCAGTGAAAAAGGTTTCGTGGAAGGTGGCCTCTTGGATTTCGAATCGAAGGAAACTGATTACTATCGCAAAGAATCGAACGGGGAAAAGTTCCGTGAGTGGTTTGAAGAAATGTTGCCAAAACAATAACCAAACTGTTATAGATATGGGAATTGCTCTCTATGACAGTGTGAAAGTTGATACGCTTCCGACGCAATTGTGGCGGAAGCAGTTAATTATTGACTGGCTAGTTAAAAGAACGAAACTGTAGACAGCACAATGGTTAAAGTAGAATTACTCGACATTGTTGGAAAATACAACGTTCAGGAGACATGTCATACACGAGTTGGCCAAAACTTCTGGCCCTAGAGTTATACGCCTACCTCAATATCACTGGCAATTGAATCCAATAGAAATAATTTGGAGTCGAATAAAATGTAAAGCTTCTGGACGAGTCAGCTGTGCAGTAATGCGTCGATTGTAATACGGGATATGTAGGTCAACCTGTATATCAGAGACGTATTCTTATCGCAGGCGGGACTGGCGTTGCCACAGACGCTTCTGACAATTCGTGAACACGTGCACGCTTGAAGCAGGAGAATCGAGCAATCGACCAATGAGGTAACTATCCGCCAATGAATACTATGCTCCTTTGTTTACATCAGAATCATTCTTAGGGTGAACAAAGATTAGGCAGTGAACAAAATTTTGTGAATCTGAAGGCATTTGACACGAGATGACGATGCTGTAGACATTAAAAAAACAAAAACGGAGAGATTGAACAGACCGCTACTAGAACTTGTCAGATCGTCACTTCGAGAATCGGAACTTCCAAAGGTTGCTTGGGTTGAGCTAACCAACACGGCAGCTTATATTCGTCACAGTTACGAATACACATGACTCAAAATACCTTAAGAATTATGGACAGGGAGAAAGCCCAGTGGGACACACGTGCGATAAATAGGTTGTTAAGTTTCTGTTAATGTGCCGAATTTGAAAAGGCTATCCAAATTATCTTCCAGGGCAGAAAAAGGCATACTGGTGGGATATTTTTTAAAGGGCCGTGGATACAGAGTTTGAATGTCTGAATCACAAGTCCAGGAGTCAAGAGACTGTTTTCAAAGAAAGCAACAAGTCATTGTCAAACAGTAAAATCAACAAGTCATTGTCGATTTCCATTCAAAGGATTTTGATGCCGGAGCTGTGTCACAAAATAATCAGGTGGATGACAAGTGTGATGACAAAGAAAATTTAAATAGCATAGATGAACAATCCTCTGCAAAAAGGAAGAAACCATGGAGAGGGGAAATGTAGACCAAGTATAGAAGAAACAATGAACCGACCAAAGATACATCATATGACGCTGCATTCAAAACATAAACATGGCGATCCAAAGCCAAATCCTGCATTGGTTGATAACTCTGAAGAACCATCGTCATATCAGCAAACAATTGAATCCAGGGAAACAATCCGTGGCTAGAGACAATGTCTGAAAAATATAATTCATTTATGGAGCACGATTCCCAGGACTTTGCGGCAATACCTGAAGGCGGAAACCTGTGAAGTGCAAATGGATTATACACTCAAGAAAACTGGGAAAAAAGTTCCAAGGCACGTTTGGTAGACAAAGGCAGTACACAGAGGAAAGGAATCGATTACGAAGAAGTCTACGTTCTAGTTTCACATTTTTATTACGTTTGCTAGTGGCCTGCTAGTGAGAAAGGGAGGTCAATTGATCAATTCGACGTGAAAAAATCTTATATACACGACTATTTGATTGAAAATATCTGTACGGAACAACCTGAGGGCTTTACGCAAAAGGAAAGAGGACTCGTATGCAAGTTGAAGAAATCAATCTATGGAAGAAGACAAAGTGAAGCTGTAAAGAGTATCTGAACGAGTCGTTGACAACACTGATTCGTGCGAAATGACCATATGTCTATCAACTGGACACAGAGTAAGGAAAAGCAATCCTGAGTGTAAGACGATATGCTCTCTATTGCTGAGTACGAGATATCCAGGAAAAGGTGAAAGGCTTAATCAATGTTTTGATATAAAGCATATTGGAGGCTTACCATACATGTTGGGAATGAAGGTCAGTCAAGAAGATTATGGAAATGTACGACTGACACACGAAGACTACATTGAGAAATTGAATCAACGGTTTGAATTTGAAAATGCGAAATGTTTTTGACGTTAAGTATATTTTAGAAACAAAATTGAAGGGGATAGCGCTTCATAAAATGTATCTTTATCAAGCTCTAACCCTTTTTGCTACGAAGTCCGGCTGTGTTACGCGAGAGTTGTTAGAGGATTCATCCATTTTCCTGGAGCCGGGAGATTGTCGCTGTAGTGGCGACGCTAGATATTATCATGGGGTTCGGCAAAGACAGATTAGAATATCAGACTAGAATGCCTCAATTAACAAAATTTCTTCTCACTCTTCACTCCTTACATAGCACAGGATCGTGTTACACAATAATTCAACCGTTGTATTATAAAATCTTGAAATGAGTTTATCAGGAACAGCATGTTCTGTATTTTATTGTAGTAGACATTACCTTTTTAATTGATACTGGTTGATCCAACGTAAGGGCAACCATCGACTGGTTCAGGCTAGATGTTGGACTCGAGCTTTGGTGATTCTGAAAAGAAAAACGGATATAAAAAATTGTGGTAAGATTAACGTAACAATTGTGATGAAGCTCTTTTTTCAGAAAAACACGTATAGAACAGACACAACCATAACAATAATTAACATATACCACAATTTAAAATCACATATGCACTATGACATACCCGTGTTCAATACTTATCAAGCACCTCTAAACAAAACACACCCAAAAAAACAGCAATTAGGGACAAGTACACAACATTTTACCATTATCATTTGGTTAGAGTAAATAATTGTGTTTCACATTGTAGTAATGTGCCAATGAACACTGTATAATATGTGAATGATGTAATTTGCAGATCCAAATACATGCTAATTAAAAAAAGGGTTCGAAATAAGGTTTTCTTAAATACTGTACAGTATATTTCTAAAAAGTGTAAAAAAGTTTTGCAAATTTACACATTTTTTGTTCGGTATTCAGTTCATCCCATTCTACGGAATATCAATTAGTGGTGATACTAAAAACGTAAGAAAGTATGTATTGTAACCGTTACATAATATAATAAACGTAATGCGAGATGTTCCAGTTCAACTCAACTCTCAAAGGCATTTCCAGCCAGCAAAAATGTTTCAAACGACTGGAAGACGAACCTGGATATCTAGGTTCCGGAGAAGACGACCTTACGACAACATCTCTCGCGGTGTATTCATTTACTGGTATAAATCGTTCTCGTTTTACATTTCAGAAAATTAAAAATAAACTACATATATTTCAAAAACATTGTAGAAGAAACAATTTAAAGATCAAATAATGAGAAATTGATAGCAACAAGAAATATCTACCTTTCTCATTGAAACTGAAGGTCAGGTTCGGAAAACATCATTGTGACAATGTTTCAAAAATATGAGAAATCGACTAATATTCAAGATAAGATTCATAATGTATGAAATATCTTAGTGCAATATTAAAGATTTAATAGAGATTGAAGCTATACGTGCTAAACAGCACATACTTTCTCGCATTAGTTCAAACGTTTGCAAGTTTCGAAAATTCAGAAAATGTTTCGGTATCAAGTACACAGAAAACATGGATTTTGACTACACAACGGGTTAGAGGAAGTCATTTACTATGTTCTAGATAAATGTACCGTCGTCGACGATTGAAATATTCGTATTAAAAATATATTATCGCATGTTTAAAATGTCAACTATGCAAGTTCTAAATTAAAAGTCTGGCGATACTGGTACATAAAAGATAAAGTCACAGGAATTAAAATTGAGCAAAAAAAAAATAAATTAAACAATGTGTCGTCAATCGTCTTGTTGAATGTTCTTACAGACTAATACGGTGTTGGAGAACCTAATCCGAACTCTCACATAACTAGTTGTTCTAAAGAGTACATTGTACTTAAAATATTAAGAGGCGGCTTATTAAAAAAAAATGTACATTCGCAAGCTCGTATTCTACAACATACTACTACAACATCATTCAATTTTTATAATTGTATATTAGAATTTAATTTTATAGTTTATATTTTCCCCACAAAAGGGGATTATTCCCTTAGCACTATCGTATATGCTACACATCATAAAAATTATCATATGAAACGATAGTTATCCTACATGACGGAAAACGCCGCCCATGAACCTTTTTCTTCCGAGTGATCCACGCCCTGCATACTTTAAACAGCGTCGTCCGAATGTTTCATCCCTAGCGACTTGTCACTCATCGCCTGGGTGCCGCGGCCCACCTCATTGGCATCACATTTAGCTGTAATCACACCTGGTTGTGGAGAGGACAGATGTGATGGTACTAGGGTATGCATTCGCGAGGCCACCACTAGATCGCAGCGCTAAAAAAAACGCAAAAACACGTTTTTGGAGAAATTTCTTACATTGTTCTTGATGGATCCCAAACGAAACCTCCATTTTCCAAACAGGAGACCTAAACGGGTAGAATGAAACCTAATTTGTCTCGATTGGTGGACGGAAAGGATCTAACAGTGAGTGACATACGCAAGATGCTAGAAAACTATATAAATCGTTATTTTATCTCGCAACTCAGGTCTGGGAGGTCTGCAACTCCGGACTCCATGTGCCAATTTGGCATACACGCGAAATACCTACTGAATCCTTTCACTTTTAGCACCCCTCCGGAGGTCGTGTCCCTCAGGTTTCGGGGTGGGGAAATGCAGCTATTTTAATTCGAAGGAGAAAGCACTTATTGTCCTTCTGCATCAAATGGACACATTCTTGAATGTTTCAAAATTCCGGTTTGAGCAGGAGACAGTAAGTTCTCTTTGTTCAACAATTACCGTATACATTTCAAAAATACTACTCGGGCAATACGAGTTGACTGCCGACCAATTCTGAACTCCGGAGCAAGAAGCAAATCAGCAATAGGCTTTCCTATCACCTTTCAAGCACCTCTCCTCCATAAACTGTCCATTGTTTACCCCTCAGAATGCGATTGCGCTGTTATTACATATATTATAGTTTCCCAATTTAAGATAGATCTGGGTTTTTCGTCAGATATTGACGCTTGACTTTGGTGAGGGACACGTCCGTGACTCGATCCTTCTGTATCTCCCTCTCCTTTAGAATGGTAGGTCACTTGGAGTTGGCCGCATCGTCTCCTTCGCAGACTACACAGTGCAGTAGTGTAGCGCAGGGTTCTGCTTCGTGCATTCATTTGCCGCACTTTTCGCATATCAGGATTTCTGCCTCGCTTCTTTGTCGCGTATGGCAGAATCATTGGATTTAAAACTGTGCGAATGATTAGGCCCATACTGCCGCACACGTACTGCACCCCGCTGTCTAGAAGGCGAGGTCAAAGGTGGAGTATTGGGGCTCGCCGGAGTTCGCACAACGAACAGAGGTATACGGAATCTACCCATAGGTCCCAGTGTCAAGGCGACGTTAAAGTGAGCATGCACAGACCCCTCAACCCCTACGTCACTCATTCTGTTCCACACGGGTCACCAGGCACGTCAAACACGTAGGTTGCGATTCAGCATATAGAGGAAGTCAGTGAGGAAGACTCTCAAGAAGTTCAGATACTCTTAAGTTTTCTTAGGGTCTGACCAATATAAGCTTTGGGGCGTCCTTCTACAAAATATTTGAAAGAGTAATGTTTTAACTATTTATTTAACAAAAAAATCGATAACTTGACCCATTTCATGGTCAAGTCACTCCCCTTAATAAATTCTTTCTTCCTTCTCCTTCTAATATTTAAAGACAGATCTTGAAATAAGATCATGTTCAATTCTTTAGGAAATATGAGTAGTTTTCTTGTAATTTTGCGCGAAATATAGACAATTTGTAATATTTTAAACAATTTTTTTTCTCAAAAACTCCTCAAAATTATTTCTTTAAATTTCCTTATTTGTATCAAGGGACGGTAAAAAATATGTTACTAATCCCATTTTGGACAAACTACGTTTTTTAGAAAATTGAACAAGTTAACAAATCAAAACTACAAAATTAAAGATAGAGATGTTTGCCTTTGATAGAGTCTTTTGTAAAAAACCAGCTCTTTAAAAAGTGATGTACATTTTTTGAAAAACGAGATTTCGTGTAATTACTGTCTAAAATTAATGCAATTCCTAAATTTCATTTTTTCATTAAATTTCCTTCTATGTAACAACGTACGGTAAAAAAATATGGTCGTACTCCCATTTTTGGCAAACACACTGTATTTTCGAAAATTGCAAAAATTGCGTGTCGGAAATATGGGGCTGAGACAATTACATTTTTAAGCGTCAGCCCGAGTTCAAACCTTACCGAGCTTCTGTGGCGTAGTGACGGCTGACAACGTTAACTCGCAGGAGGAATATTTTTACATGTTTATGTAGTAGTATAATATAGCGGAGCATTTAGATATAACGCCATGAAATATATGCTGTAGTAGCCCCACTAGTTGATAGGATACGAAAAACATAACGTGAATGAGAAAGGATTATTTTCCTGATCTTTTTGGCCATCGAAATATTTAATGCTTGTGAATACATTTCAGATCATGAGACTTGCCACCCCATAATGCTATATTATAATATAATTAAGAAAAAATGAAGTTAGTGCATGACATATCTTACGCTCTGAAAAATAGATTAAGAGCAATAATTAACTGATTTTATAAAAATAAAATACCTCTAAAATAACCACTCAGAAGACCATTTTTCATGGAGCCAACTAGTCGTGGCGACAAGTTATAACGACAGGTTATCTTCCGTTTAAAACTTGTGTATACAAATGACGGTAGCTTCATGTGTAAGTTAATATTGTGCTCCACTTTTCCTTTCTTCTTTTAAGTGCTCGTTTTTGCTTTCTACTAAGCTTTTTATCCACAGTAGTCTTTATTATTTTTCTATCGCTTTATTGATCTAACTGCAGGAACTGTCGATCCTCATCCATCTTAATCGAAATCAAAATATCGTGAACGCTAATGAAAGGGGAGCCCAATAAATTTACCAATTCCAGCTACCTATTCTATTCAATTTTGGAATAGTACGATGTTTTACGTCAACCTCACGACAAACGTGGACAGCTTTTTGCACTTACACTGACCTCGGAAGCCACGCACGAGCCACTTGAGTACAAATGCGGAAGGGTAAAGTAGGATGGGGATAAGACTCATTCTAGTAGTGTGGACCATCAATAAGAATGCGCAATTCGACCCGAAGAGCGTAAATTGAAAGAAGTCGGCAAGAATATAACGGGCAGTTTAACTAATATTGCCTTTTATATTATATTGGAAAGGTTTGTTGCCGATATATGATAATGCGAAATATGACCCTGAAACAAATCAGACATATTTAATTTGGACACCAAGCATTATAATTGCTTTTGGGGCTGATAATGTAATTCGCTTTGCTTGCGATGTAATCACAAATTCAGAGTGATGCTCAAGACAAAATGGTAATATCGAATCGTTTTTGTTCGGAGATTAAAGTATTAAAATACTTTCCGTTCACAATGTTTACTTGATCAAGACGGTTCAAAGGTAAAACATCTTATAGTTAAAAACTCATG